GTCTTACCTTTAATCCTTTTACTACTTTAAAAAATCCTGACTACTCTCGGCGCACCGCGATATCTTTCTATTTCTTCCTTTTAGCACGCACAAGTAGATATCCTTATTTTTTTCAGCAATGCCACCGCCATCTGAAATAAGCTACCCTGAAATATCCAAAAGGCAAGGAAGCTATCGTTTGTTTAAGCGAACTATCACTATTTATCTATATTCAGGACATCCTGCACAAATTTGCGGTGCTGACTCGGTGAAAACTCTCTTCTGGTCTGATGGCGTTAGCGGCTTTTGAGCCCTGTGGCAGGCTTCATTCTATGTAAGGACAATGTTGCTGACTCTGCAGCTCACAATCGGCTAATTAGTTAGCTGACACACCTTTGTCTGGTTCAGAATATCGGACCCATAACACTCCAGGGCAACTGACAATACGACGTTCACTTGCCCACACTTCCACCTCCCGAACTTCGATCATACAACGAGCTGCAGATTTTTTTCACCCGAAGGACCCCATTTACTGTCAAACACTAGTAACAATACTACTTTTGAGAAATTTTCTCCACTGCTAGTTCGATCCTTACTGCATACTATTTACTTTGCCGGTAAACTTGCGAAAAATACACTTATTATTTGGCGCAAAACTGCATGACCGGTTGCCAATTATCAGACTTCGACAGCGAGGCATCAATCTAAACAAATTACTTAGTGTACGTAAGTAGGTGTCCGCTTGTTTTTGAAGAGGGGAAGTTCACCTTAAATTGCTCGTCATAGAAGGGTTTGCCATGCCAGTATCGCAGACAGGCATACATGGGTCTTCGGTAGTGGAACTTCTCCTCGAAGCTCACAGTGGCCGTCTCCATGGCTTCTGAAGAAGGGGCAGCTTGTTGTGCACCGGGGGAGGCTGGACCCGACGCCGAAGCTGTGACGCTTGGAAGATCGGAGGTGTTAGAGTCGACACCGGGGGCCAACTCAATGGAGACGAATGCAGTGAGCAGGGCTGTCACCACGTGACTGAGTTGTTCACTGCCATTATCGCCAGAGAGAAGCTGCTCCCGACGGACGCTGGAGGAGTAAAATAATTCTAAGTCGTTATTAAACGTACTACTCCGTATGTTTAAGTAACAATTTTTAAAGAATCTTTTCGTTAAATGCCTTACAGGGTGAAATGTGGTTTAGTGTATTCTGTCTGACGTTTACGTGGTCATTTCCCGTTTTGGTACTTACGCAACGTATGGCACACCACGCATACACTGAAAGATAATGGCAGTTAACAGACAGTTACATGAACGCAATTGTATGACCACCCTATTTTGCAACGTCCACCGTATATCGATGTATTTCTTTTGCGCTGTTATTATAACTAATAGGAAGTTCGAAGGCCTTAACCTAGGCCTCCCTTGATAAAACTGAAATGAACGGGAAAAATAATAAGTTAGTATGCCTTTGAACCGCGGGGAGAATTTTCGAATTATCAATCTAACAAGTGAGGTAGTACTAGAGTATTCAAGGTAAATGAGGAAATAACTAACGCTGGCAGTTAATTCACGTGTTCCACGAGGGCCAGGCGTGCGTTACCTTACGAAGCATGTTATTCAAATACAGTAGGGCTAATTTTATTCATATTTATGTATATTTAAAAAGCTTCAGGCAAAGCCCTTGATGATTTTAATTCTGTACAATAATTTCCAATATTTACACTCAAAAGAAATTTGACAACATTTAGAATGTACAACACTAGTAAAAGGAAAGAATAGTTTCTGTTCACTGTGATTGAAAGTTAAACTTTCAGTACAACAAATTACGCATTCAATTAAATGGTGACTTCGCGGCAGAATGCTATGAATGTCATTGTTTGGCCCACCACCTGCCATTCTGGTCGGAACCTAGGCGAGGTGTTTAAAATGCAGTACTGAAAGGCACGTAAGCTGTTGCCTTGTATACCAATAAATCGCTCTCAATAGCTGTTTGCCCTCTTCCATTAGATGGAAAAATCTTAGAGTTATGTCCCCCAGTTGTACGTTAGGAAGAGAAGACAGACAAGATAATAGAAAACGGTTTACTGCAACAGTCTCTGCGTGTACATCAGCTTCTGCACGCGTGCCTCAACTTCTCAGCGTCCCTGTCGGCAACGCCTTCTCTTCTGCAGCTTGTCCTGTGTCTCGGCAGCACGTTCACGTTTGGGTAGCAGAGTCTCGCCTCCCGTCCGCAGCTTCATATTTAAGGGCAAGCAGTCTCTGTCACCTATGTCTCCTCTAATTGGTCCATGCGCGAGTGGCTTATCCAGGCGGTTCTCGAGTGCTGCTGGACCTCTCAGGGACAGGCATAACTTCGCGGCGTTCTTACCAGTGTTCCCGGCTCTTTGCGCATGCGCGCTTACCTCTGTTATGCGTGACCTCAGGATGGCAAGATTGATGACTCACGTGCTGGGCAGTCCCAACACTTAGTGTTTGTGGTTACAGTTGCTCGCTCATCCTTGACCGCATCAGAACCTTAGAACTGGCCACACTGTGTTGATGCACAACTAAACGAGATCTTTAAACTTTTGAGAGTAGATACAAGGAATAGAGCAGCAAGGGCGGGTGAACTCACAAAGAGTGGGCAGGAATGATACCGAAGCCAGAGCTCGCTCGTTGGCTGTTCCAATTTTCTTCATATCGTTGAGGTATCAGTGTCTCGAGCACTTCGCCAAGGCGGGCCCGAAGATGTGGATTCGAGAGAACATTCAGGTCCGTCATGTAAACAACGCAAAATTGCAGAAAGGGCTGGAGGGGAACATCAGCTGCGTCGGACGACTGCACAGCAAACAAAAGATTACAATTTGTCGCTGTAAAAATAGGTCTACTCAAATATAAATAGTAGTAAATATATTTAGAATGTAACACGTAAGACAGCTCACCTCTATGAAGTCGTCATTCAGGCGCCTTAGATAGCTTATTAACTCAACAACGTTGTCTACAATAAGCTCCGGTAGTGCGCCAAGATCAGCATGTCCCTCTGGTACAACTTCTTTAGCAGACTGAGAGGCACCAGGGGCTTGGGCCAGATCGAACAGCAGGCGACAGGTAGAGGCGCAGAGGGCGAAGTAATTGTGCAGGCGGTCGACGCAGCCGAGGCTGGTTGTCTGTTCAAGGAAGCGGGATGTGCGCTCACGTAGGCAGTAGCGAATAGCGCGACCTATCGGATGAAAGACGAAAGAGTGTGGAAAAGGGGCAAGGGAATGCGTCTTCCGGTCAACCCATCTGCGCGCCCACGGACGGTGGGCTTTAAGTGAAGGCTAACTGCGAAATAAGCAAACGTTTGTGGAAAAAGACGGATAACCGGAGGGCAAAAGGACATGGGCGTGACGCACTGACCGCCCTATTCATATCTTAAAGGTGCAGTGACAGTATAGAGACATGTTGACTACTAATCGAGAGTAAGTAGGTCCTATTACTATTGCCCCCTTATCGCTAGGTTTCAATAAAGCTAAGCACTGGAGGAGAGAATCTCAAACATCAAACCCACACAGCTGTTAGAAACCCGTCTGAATAAAAAATTTAAAGATATTAGGGTTAGTAGGCTTTAAGCCACAAGTTACAGTGGTATTCATTTATATAGACCCCTGTATGCATTTATATAGACCCCTGTATGCA